GGGGGGGGGGAGAACACAACAGAGGCAACGGACGGAAAGAATTATTTCGTGGCAAAAGAAAAACAACTAGGCGTTAGAACAGGTTTTAATGGAGCTCGACTTTTGACGGGCAAAGAGTCCTTTTGGAAACTGGGAGCAAGAGGGAACATTTTGAAGAAAAAAGGGAGAAGAAGAATATGGGCAGCAAGAAGATGATGACAAATCTTAGAGGACGAGGAGGAGAAGAAGGAAGAGGAGAGGGAGGATACATCTTAGAAGAAAAAAAGAAGACGAGGACGAGGAGACGGTGGTGGTCGACAAATCTTAGAAGAAAAAGGAAGAAAAAGAAGCAGATCAGCAGGGGAATGGATTTAAGTGGACAAATCTTAGAAATAAAAGAAAATTAAAGAAGTGGAGGTGAAGGAAGAGAAGGAAGAAAAGGAGGATGAGGAGGAGGAGGAGTGAGGAAAGTGACGAGGAGGAGAGTAAGAGGAGGACGAGGAGAAGGAAGAAGAAGGAGGCTGGCAAGAATTCACCAGTGATGATAATATTTTCCTAACTTACGGGAATTCCATTGGGTCCTTGAGGGCCCCTGGGTCCAACGATACCGGGAGATCCCTGTGAGAAAGACACAAGAGTGGGGTTTATACTGTAACATATCAGAGTACAAGCACTTGGAGAGTAATAAATAATTATGCTTTGTCTTATTTTCAATATCTGAAACATGCATTTCTCTACAGCAGTATTATAAAGATTTAAACTTCATGAAGTGGAATATCGTAAGTGATGTATTATTAAGCAATTCAGGCCAAACTTGGTATTAACTACGGAATAAACGATAAGGGTACGAATAACAGAGTTGAGGGAGATAACCGAAAAGTTAAAAACAGGGTAATTTTCACAAAATTACCCCCCCCCCTTTGACCTCGAGGCGATTGGAACATTAAAATAATATAATTTCTTTTTACACATAATTATTTGGGATAGCATTTCAAAAAAATTAAATTCTGATTCCGTTATCGTCAGTAAACTGTTAAGATGAGATCAGCCCAAAAAACAAACTTTTACAGGAGAGAGAACAAACTATTTCATTCTTTTAACAATGTTCCAACATTATAACGAAACTTTTAATGTACCTACATTATAAAAAATTCCTTGATTTTTTAACAAGTAGAAAATGAATTTCAACAAAGTATTTATTGAGCCTCTGAAAATGATACAAAAGATCAATAAAATGCAATAAAAAAATAACTAAAAAAACAACAAACAAACAACAAAACAACTAACAACAAAAAACCGAAACAAAACAAGGCTCAGTACATTTCAACAGCTGGCCGACGGTATAGAAGGTCACGACAAGTATACCAACCTCTAAGCACTCACCGCAAAATAAAACATCTACAAAAATAAATAAAATGTATTTAAGAGGGTGTACACCCACAACGTCCCGATTCGGCTCAAAATTTTGGAATTTGAGTTGTAGGCATTTTTAGCTCTCTCTCAGACTCTCCTACAACTGTTTCATCGCATAAGAACGCCCCCAAACCGCATTTTTTCCCATACCGGGCATGTTTGTCG